GTCTTTGTGTCTGTCCATGTGTGATCGAGTCTGTGCGTGTGTGTCTATGTGTGTCTTTGTGTCTGTCCATGTGTGATCGAGTCTGTGCGTGTGTGACTGTGTGTCTATGTGCGTTGCCCATGAGTGACAGGCTTTTGTCCTCTGTCAGGTTCAAGAGCAAGCACAGCCCGGACTACACGGAGTGCCCACTGTACCTGCAGGAGGAGGGCTACAATGTTGGCTGCATGCTGCCCTACAAATCAGATATGAAGTTCAACCCCCTGTACACAAGGCTGTTGGCAGAAAACAAGAGCATGGTCCTGGAAGTGACAATCAACCTGCAAGGGCTAGGTAGGAGGCTGACGCCATGGCTGTCACACAGGGGCCACAGTGCAGATAAGGGGTGGCAGAGCGGAGCAGTGGGCAGGGCACTGGGCTTCTGGCCCAAAAGGTTACAGGTCCCTGACCCAGGGAGCAACAAGTACCACCAGCTGGATTAACTGGTTCCAACGTCTTTGTAATATCTGTAGCCTCTGCATGCACCTCTGAATAAAAGCATCAGCCAAAACAACTTACTACAACAACAGTGTTTTACATTAGCAGGTGTACTTGACTACAGTTAAAATGCTGAGCAAGAGCAAAGGACAAATGTGTGGTGAGAAAATTAGGGGAAAAGAAGTCCCCATGTATTTTAAATGGTATTAATGTGTTTGCGCTGAAAATCTGGGGCATGAATGACATTGATGTTTCTGTGTGTTCTGAGGCTTCTGCAGGTTCAGGAAAACCTGTTTTTTTCTAATTATATTCAAACATAGGCACCCTGCATCAGCGCTGTGCAGTGAAACACTCACATGCAGTTCAGGTACACTGATGGGTGGTGCAGACTCTGTTCCAGGTACGTGCTGCAGAGAGCTGGGCAGCCTGTGTGCAGCCCGTGTGCAGCCCGTGTGCAGCCCGTGTGCAGCCGGGCTGCGGAGGCCTACCTGATGGCGTCTGTTGTCTTGTGTCTCCGAACGCCAGTGCTGCTGAACCCCCCTGACAACCTGACGCTGGAGTTCAGCAACACCTCTGGGCTCTGGCTGTACTGGAACTTCACCAGTAAGCCTGGCTGCGTGGAGAGTGAGGTCCGATACAGGAACAACAAGGACACCGACTGGCAGGTAGGGATATTGCCCATACTGTCGTCATAAATAATTAGCCACCGCAAAAGAAGCAGCAGCAGTAATGATAGCTGTAATGATCATTTTCCCTTAGATAGCACTTCCCCTCCCAGAGAGCCTTGTAAATAGGAGGGGAGATATTTTATCCATCCCTGAAGAGCAGATCCCACCTGGGTGACGCGTGGTGGCCATTCTGGGCCAGCAGCCCCCAGCGCACCGATCAGATCAGGCGGAAGAGTGAGAAATCACTTCACAGAGGCCAGACTGTGGAAGCACGGGGTGGAATTTCACACGGCCATCCTTTGTATAATCTGGCTGCAATACATTATCCACCCAATTAAAATTGGGTGGATAATGTATTGACAGAGGTCTAGTGATGCTATATTGGACTAATTGCCTAAAGTGCATCAGAGAATTGCAGTTTCTTCTAGATCTAGTTTTTTATCTGGACCATTTTGATCATTTGTTTGCGTTCTGAGTTTATTTCCACCATCGCTGGATGAGAAAACTCCTGTCTGTGACAGATTTTGCCCATAAGTTCCCAGGACTCAGGCTTTTAAGTTTATGGTGCAACAAACGACTGAGCCTTTTCATTGTGCACACGCACAATCCTGCATTTTAAAAGCGAGGAGATTTCCGTCTCTCTCTCTCTCTCCCCCAGATCTCCAAGCCAATCAGCGGCGCAAGCCCCTACAACATGGCCTTCCCCGATGAGAAAAAGCTGTACACGTTCCAGGTGCGCTCCCGGATTGCGCATCACTGCGGCTCGTCGGACTACTGGAGCGAGTGGAGCATCCCTCTGTCCTGGGGCAGCAACAGGACAGGTACTGCTTCTCCGGGATCTCCCACCTCTTCCCAGCCTCCACCTTCCTGTCCTCCTCTCTGCAGCCCTGTTGAATTTAAATTTCTTAACCTTTATTGCCCCTCAGGGAATTCGTCCTGCACATCAAGAGCTCATAACACCCATGAGGATAATACAACAGCATTACACAAAACAACATTTAACAACATCACTCAGTCAGAACTACAATCCAGTATCATAAGATTTAAAACAGAGAATTAGCTGGTAATTAGCTGGTACAACAACAGTTAAAAGATCCCTGCGTCCAAACAATCTTTTCATTGTTGAATGAAATGAAATGAGATAAATACTCTATCTTATCTTTATACATAGGATCTGGTACCTCTTTTCAGACAGTAGGAGAGTATGTTCTAAAAAGAGTGTGAAAAGGGCCCACAAATACTGGTTCTATATTAAGGTCAAAGGTCTTGATAATGAAGATCTTTATGAAGGTGGTGGATTTCAAGTAGCCTCTGAGATACTGTATTCAGTTCTTTTAAACTATGAAGAGTTTAGCCTTTAGCATTAACTAGATGACCATCTGAGATTTTATGTGCAAGATGAATAATATGTCGTTCCCTTTGACATGTTATTGAGTCGGAGGGCGCGATATTCCTATCCCAACGCCCTCACTTAAAGCGGGTCAGATGTTCAGACAGTTGGTCTGACCTTGGTCATGGCAGGAGTTGGGCACAGTCTGCCCAGGCACGGAGGTGCTGACCTTTCTGTGTTGCTATCTCTCTCTCTCTCTCTCTCCCTCTGGGCTGACGCAGAAAATGAAGATGACTCTGAAAGCCTGGTGAACCCCGGCAGCGCAAATTTGCTCCAGAAAGTGCTGTATCCCATCCTGGGTTGTGCCCTCCTCGTGACGCTGGCCGTTCTGCTCGTCCACAACGAGAGGTAGGCCCCACGGGAAACCCTTCAGTCCCTGGCCTGTCCAGGGCACTGCTTGAAGTGGTCAGTCACAGAATGATTTTTTCTTGTTTCACTAAAGCATCACAAGTAAGAACATTTCTGTCTGTCATATGCAGTTTGCATTTATAATCTATTCAATCGGGATCAGCACATCCTTTTTTAACCCCATTAATGCTCTGAAATATCATTAAGGCATCTGATATTTGGTGTCTATTTTTAAGATGCATACCTCATTTTAAACTATAATAACTGCCTTTTAAGCATCCTCTGTCCTGCCGAGGAGAAAAGTCTGCAACACTGTGTTTTAGAAACTTTTTGCAAACCATTCAAACTTTAAAAGCTGCAGATGTGTGTTTCAGACAGCACACAAGTGCATGGATATTTATTCCTGGAATAATGTTTGACAGCAGGAGTTTCGTACAACACATGGCAAACAGATTCAGCCGTGCAAAGGCACCCTGGAGGGTGAATTAAATTATAGTATAGTGAAATGTGAGGCAAAGGTTGAGGATCAGACAAGCTGTGTCACCTGGCAGCAGTGTTCCTATTCCAGAGGAAAAAAAACAGCAGTTCAATCATTAACGCAAGAGGAACCCCCCTTGTTTTGGAAATCCTGTCTTTTTAATTAGCAAGCCGAAAAAGTGTCACGATTTAGGAATTTGAAAAGGGTGTTTTGCACGCTTAGGAATGAGCACCGAAAAGCTGAAGCCCTAATTATGGTTTTGGTTGGTCAGCAGAAGTTCCTCCTGTCTGCACCGCCAACTCAATAATGCAGAGCTGCAGACGGAAGGTAGTGTTCTGGTGGTTAGCTTGCAGACGCCACCCCCCTCTGACCTCTCTGTCCACTCTGTGCTCCTCAGGCTCCGGGTCATCTTGGTACCCATCGCCCCCAACCCGCTGAAGAACCTGGAGGACCTCTTGAATGAATACAACGGAAATGTCGAAGTA